TAAATGCTGTTTAAACCACTAAATTTCTAGCAATTTGTTATGTAGCTATGGAAAACTAATGCAGTGTTCAAAACCCTGGCACCTTGTTACCGGTCAAGGCTTGAGTGGCCAGCAATTGTATGCAATGTCTGTTCTTCACATCCATGCACTTACTGGAAAAGAGTCCCTTGCATTTAAGAATGTCTCTTGAGGGCTGAAGAGATGGCTCAGCAGCTAAGGGCACTTGCTTCTCTTCCAGAGGACCCAAGTTTGGTTCCCAGCATCCATGGAGTGGCTCACAACCTCCCATAACTCCAGGTGCAGGGGATCCAACTCCCTCTTCTGCCTTCCTCAGGCACCTGTACACACATGGCATTCACTCACACAGATATACACATAAATAATAATAACAATAATAATAATCTTTGAAGAAGGTCCTTGATAATATAGAACATATATTCATTTTCTTAAATTTCAAACCTTATGTAAAGTGCACCTCAACATTCTGTATGATGAAATATGATAAAGCACTTTCATTGTTTGGCAGTAGAAGGGTGGTCTCAAGGAAAACAAGGCATTTGATGAGACGTGATATGAACTATGTTTTCATGGAAGCCCTATTTTTGTATGAGTGATAAACTGGTTAATCAAACTTGAATGTCTGGCATATCCCCCCCGACCAAAAAAAGTGGAATGAGCCTCTTGCTTCCAGAAAATCAACTGACATTATTTGCTGCCAGGGATAAAATTCCAGCCTTTGTGAAAAATTAAAGTTTTAGAAAAATTCTCTAAGCTTGACAATATCCTATACATAAGGACATTTTCTTATGAGATCAATGGCATGCTAAGGAATGTGCATTTTGATATTCAACATTAAAATTTACCAATATTTGGATGGTATTCATAGTTTGGTGAACTAATGTTTTCCTTTTCTTTTCTCTTTTCTTTTTTTGGTCTTTTTGAGACCAGATCTCCCTATAGCCTCAACTGGCCTGGAATTTGCCATATATACCAGGCTGGCCTGGCTCTCACGGAGATCTGCCTGTCTCTGCCTCCAGAGTGTTGGGATTAAAGGCATGTGCCACCATGTCTGGTTCACGAACTAATATTTTCTAAATGACCAATGTACGAGGTTACAAAACTATATTGAATTAAACATCAATTTAGCATGCAAGAAAAGAGATGGATTTTAATGTAGCTAAGTATGAACTATTCATTGATATGGTTCCAGGTTTCAAATTTCAACACTCAGTGTTTAAGGCACTACCACCTATGGACTTTAAATTTATATTAAAGAATATTCATGGCTGGGCATGGTGGTGCACACTTTTAATACCAGCACTCAGGAGGCAGAGGCATGTGGATCTCTGTGAGTCTGAGGCAAGTCTGGTCTACAAACAAGTTCCAAGCCAGACAGGGCTACACAGCCAGATCCTGTGTCAAAATGTTGACAGTTACTTGAAGACTTAACGTTCTTCTCCATTTCCTAACTACATCTGTGTAATGCCAGACTGTCTTCATAAACGTCAATGAAAACATTGTATTGCAAGGAATGGAATAGGGAGGGATGGGACTCCAATTGTCTTCTACTGAGCCAGACTTGAAGATGTAAAATGACACCATTCCTCTCATCATATTCATTTTTTGAGAAATATTTTCATAGAAATATTTATGCTACTAAGTAATGGGCTTATTCTTATTTTTAAATAGATGAATAAGCATTTCAAAAAATGCCTTTAATTTCTAATACAACAAATATTGATGGAAATGACTTTTAGAAACAAAATCTTTTTGGGCTCTTCAATAATTTTTTTAAAGTACAAAGAGGTTCTGACATCAAAGTTTGGGAACTACCAGTATTGATCAAAATTGGCTCATAATGGTTTTGTGTTTGCCAACTCATAGCATCTGTTTTTGTGACATCTGCCAGCCAAGAAGCCAATGCAGTAAGCTAAAAATGTTTAAAACACTACACCTACTCTATTGGCAACTAACTTCCTATAGACTCACATGTTTAGTGTAAAATGGTCAAATACATTAAAGGTTACTTTCTCATTACGTAACGATTGCTGCCACCACTACACACTGTGAATCAGAAGCCCAGGGTCCTACTATTTTTGGGTTTACCACCCTTTGTTTCATTGTTAATTGCATCTTTAAACCTGTGTCCTAAAAGTGGCATCCATCCGCTGTGAATCAGAAGCCCAGGGTCCTACTATTTTTGGGTTTACCACCCTTTCATTGTTAATTGCATCTTTAAACCTGTGTCCTAAAAGTGGCATCCATCCCTCTGCTTGCTTTGTAAGATTTGCCACACCAAGCGGGTGGTAGCCACTTCTTGATATGGAAGGAGGAATGGATGTTGGTGGCTATCTGGCTGCCCACCACTGTGGTATCAATCATAGGAATCAGTTGAGAATTGGATTTTGATAGGTCTTGATCCTACCATTTACCAGCTCTGTAGCCTTCTTCACTGCAGCATTGGGTCCTTCCCTGTCCTGTTTTCTGCTCATTGCCTAGGGCTGCATATATGTCAGTGAACAAGTATTCAGCATTCATTCTGATGGGGTCTACAGTCAAGTGCAGCCCTCAGGTTTCTGGAGACCTTAAATTTGATTCAAATGCTCAAATTTCATAACATGTAGAAGCCTACTCAAGATACTTGAGAGTTCTAAACATTTTCATGATCTCATCTGCATTCTAGACTTAAGTTCCTGTATGTGTAAGCGTGGTATTCATGAGGTTGCCATGCAAGCGAAATCCAGCCATTTCTACTTTTCCACAAAACAAATCACCCAGACAAAGTACTTAAGGATAATGGAGAATCTCCCGAACTCTCGGGAAGAGTCCTAATGCCCATTCCCCTTATGAATATATATTATCATTTTTTTGCTTTCACAAATCCTTTTCAGCTATCCAGTTACACCCGGTTCCTGTTTGGCTTTTCCTTCTACTAGTGAGCATTGTGCCTTTTCACTGCTTGCATTCTTTCCCTTTCAACAGCTAGAACCCCATCTCTCCTAACGTCTTGGGTATATTGTGAGAATTTGCATTTGTTTCCTTTGATAGTTGAGAACAGTTCGGCTTTAGTTCCCACTCTCAAGTCTTAAGGTGCTGAGAAGTTAACAGGACCATCGCTAAACTCTAAATGACTATAGTTGTTGTTACTGAATACCAATAAAAAAAGTTTGCATTTTCAATGTAACTTTGGATGGCAGCTCCAATCATCACTAAAAGGCCGAAAGCCTAGACAAGACTGCAGGGGCAGGGGCTGTGCTATACTGCAGGGGTAGGGGCTGTGCTAGACTGCAGGGGCAGGGGCTGTGCTCCTGTGGCCTGGTCCAGTACATAGTAACAGTTTATTGGAGATTTATTGAATTTAGAGTTTCATGAATGTTGGGATTAATGATCAGTCTAAAATAGGCAAATGATGAAGCCTGTTTTCTTTTGTGTTTTCACAGTGTCAGTGCTTTTTATTAAATTTTATTGTGTATTTTGGATATTGCAGAATTATAACTTTCGTAGGCAAGCACAAGGAGTGGTTTACCAATTCGAGACTCCACTTAGGTTGTGCTATGAACCTCCACCCCTTATAATAATGCACCTGGGATGTACTAACAACCCCATCGAACTGCATCTAGTAACCTCAGATCCCCACCTGCATCTGGCTACACTACACCCCTCTCTGGACAATGGGATATGTTTCTCTTTCTCTAACAACAATGAAACTTTGACAGTTTCTATTAAGATATACTCCCAACACATCCAGGTACAAAGTACAGAAGGCCATCCAGTCCTAACTGCTTCTGAGTGCATGTGCAGTAAGCCAAAACTGTGCCTTCCAGTAAACTTTTAGGAAGAAGCCCCTATTTACCATCTTATGCATATTCATAATTGGGAGTGGGTATCATTAAAATCAGATGCATTTTGGGAAGGGACAAGCATAGTAAGGTAAAATCTTATATAACACGATATCAATCAAAATAAGTACCACCCAAATGATGATCCTTAGGAACCAAACTCCTCCTCTTGAACCCCATAAAAGGAAGCCCTAAACAACAATCCTGGCTGTTGAGTATTTTCACTCATTTGACTATCTGTCAATCATAACTGGTACCACTCTCTGATACCCACTCTTTCTTTGCTCAGAATAAAGTGCTCTTGCTTCTCTGGCACATCTGTGTGAGCTCTTATTTTCAGTTCTTTGGACGAAAGACCAAGAATGGAGAAACACCTGCCCTGACCTTGACAACTGGTAACACAGTTACTACTGGTTTTCCTGAAATTACTAAGATTAAAAAAAAACAAACAAAAAATCAGTGGGAAATTAAACTACCCAGGGAAAGGAGTTTGGGAAAGTTAACACAAATCTCTTTGGTTGGCTGATTGCTTTGGTTTTTGAGACCTGGTGTCCTCATGTAGTCAAGGCTGATCCTCAGATTCCCCTCTACATTCCTGTCTGTGCATCCTGGGTGCTCAGATTACAGTTGTGGATTACCATGACCAGCTAAAAGGCAATCTAAAACGAATAGTTAATTCTCTCTTAAACACTTCACCGCAGAGCTGGAGAGATGGCCCAGCAATTAAGAGCACTGGGTGCTCTTGTAGAGGTCCTGGGTTCTATTGCAGCACCCACATGGTGGCTAATCACCCTCTGTAACTCCAGTTCCAGGAGATCCGATGCTCTCTTCTGACCTCCTCGGGCACTGCACGACATGTGGTATACTTACATACAAGCAGGCAATACGCTCATACACATTAAAAACAAAAAAACAAACTTCACTGTAACCTGGCTGTGAGCTGCTACCCTTCCCTCCCCTCTTCACGGGTAGGGGATCCGGAGGCTGATGGTGGTCGGGACGAAGCTCTCTTAAGACCAAACGCTCCATCCCGAAGGAAAGCTAGGATTTTGTGATCCATGAGCTTGGAGATCCGCGGTGCCGGCCGACTTGCGCCGGCCCCACACGCCCTACGTCCGCTGCGCGCGCCGCCGGCGTGCGCGGTCGCCATAGCGACAGGCCGTGGCAACCGCGGTGCTGTGTGGCCCAGCAGGGAGTTTGAGGAAGGACGTGTGACCGCGGTCCTCATCTCACCTCCCGGTCCTCGCCCAGCCATGGCGAGCGGCCCCGGGGACGTGCGCAAGCTCTTCCTGTTCACCACCACCCAGAATTACTTCGGGCTGAAGCCGGAGTTCTGGGACCAGCCCCCGCTCTGCAACTGCCCCGAGATGAACAACTTCCTGGACGATGGGAACCAGATGCTGCTACGGGTGCAGCGCTCCGACGCCGGGCTCACCTTTTCCAATACGGTAGGGTCCGCCTTCCCTGTCCCAGGTCTCCAGGCCCGGCCTCCCCTGCCCCAGGTCCCCAGGCTAGACCTCCGGTGCCCCAGGTCTCCAGGCCCGGCCTCCCCTGTCCCAGGCCCCCAGGGTAGACCTCCGGTGCCCCAGGTCTCCAGGCCCAGCCTCCCCTGCCCCAGGTCCCCAGGGTAGACCTCCGGTGCCCCAGGTCTCCAGGCCCGGCCTCCCCTGCCCCAGGTCCCCAGGGTAGACCTCCGGTGCCCCAGGTCTCCAGGCCCGGCCTCCCCTGCCCCAGGCGCCCAGGGTAGACCTCCGGTGCCCCAGGTCGCCAGGCCCGGCCTCCCCTGCCCCAGGTCCCCAGGGTAGACCTCCGGTGCCCCAGGTCCCCAGGGTAGACCTCCGGTGCCCCAGGTCTTCAGGCCCGGCCTCCCCTGTCCCAGGTCCCCAGGGTAGACCTCCGGTGCCCCAGGTCCCGAGGTTAGGCATCTCCTGCCCTTGGACCCCAGATTAGGTGTCCCCTGCCACAGGTCACCAAGTTAGACCTCCCTTGCCCCAGGTTCCGAGGCCTGGACTCTTCTCCCTCAGGTTCCCAGGCAGGACATCTTAGGAGCCCTGGGTCTGGGTGGCTTTGAGTCCACCTACAGCAGAAACTTCCTGGTCCACACATTTGATTAGAAGCACCTTGACTTTTTTTTTTTTAAATTTATTTTAATAATGCCTTGACTCCTTGTACCTTGATGGACACCCTGACTCTATTCTTTTTTTATTTTGAGTCAGGGCCTCCCTGATGCCCAGGCGGGCCTTGAACTCTGGGCCCCAATCAATAATTCTACCTTGGTAGCTGGGACTACATGTGCATGCCACCCGCTGGACTATATGATGCTGTTTGAGATCTTTTAAATTTTTAAAGGGGGTCGTGGTGGTGGCAGTACTCGCCTTTTAATCCAGCACTGGGGAGGCACAGACAGGGGATCTTTGTGAGTTCAAGACAAGCTGGGTTTACATAGCCAGTTCCAGGCTGGCCAGGACTCATAGTAAGACCCTGACTCAAACACCCCCCTCTATCCCCAAAAAGAAAGTTTTAAAAATCTCTACTTCTATTGTGATGGCTTTTTTTTTTTTTTTGCAGGGGAATTAGATACTCCTTTTGATACTGCCTAGGGGAAAATTAGTTATCGATTCATATAGTTATAAAATGATTCATATATTCAAAAAACCTTGAATTCTTTAAAAAATCATTTACATTTATTGTGTGTGCATGTGTAGTGGAGTTGGGGCATAGAAGTCAGAGGACAGTTTGCAGGAGCTGATTCACTTCTTCCACCATGTGTGTCAAATTCAGGTTGTCAGCCTTGGCTACAAGCACCTTTATACACTGAGCCATCTTGCTGACCCCTTGGATGCTTTCTTTGAATGTACTACATGTGATGTATTTATGGATTTCTCTGTCTTATGCTTGGCAGGATTGCTTAAAAAGTGATTGTAGCTGGGCGTGGTGGCGCATGCCTGTAGTCCCAGCACTTGGGAGGCAGAGGCAGGCGGATCTCTGTGAGTTCAAGGCCAGCCTGGTCTACATAGTAGTTCCAGGACAGCTGGGGCTACAGGGAGACCCTGTCTCAAAAAGAACAACAACAGAAAAAAAGTGATTGTATTTGCAAGCAAGATGTGTATTTCTTTATTTACTTGAAAGTAAGAAAATTTCCTGACACATTTTAAAGAACTAAGCAAATACAGGAAAATTGACAAATGACCCACACTTTCAAGTCTTCCTTTTTGTGTTCACCCTCATGCACAGATCTAGTGGTAGATGTGGTACTCAGCAAGCACTGAGTTCATTTTTCATAATATTTTCAGTTTATTCACCTTGTTAACTATGAATCTTTATTCTTGGATTTAATTCAATAAACATTTTTTAAAATCTTTTTTTGAGACAGGGTCTCCCTGTACCTCCAGCTGGCCTGGAACTCACAGCGATCAGCCTGTCTCTGCCTCCTGAGTGCTGGGATTAAAGGCATGTACCACCACACCCGGCAATAAACATGTTTTGAACTTAAGATATGAAGATACTTTGTCAGGCCTGGTGCATTTACAGAGACACAAAAAGGAAAATCATAACTAACGTATGTTTTCACTTTATACCCTACCAGACATAGTTCTAAATACTTTCTGTATGTATGCACTTAGTATCCATACTACTGTAAGAATGGACTCTGATTTCCCTATTATGGTTGAGGGCAGCAAGATGTAAAGTTAGATCCTAAGTGGTGATGATTTTGCTTCACAAATGCTGTTAGAATAGGGCTTTGGGACTGACATGTTCAATACGTTACGAAATCAGGCTTCACTGTTGTAGAGGCCACTGAAAGTTCAAGTACAGTGCCTTGAGAAAGATGGCCTGGGCTTTGGATTTGTGAAAACACATTTTGGAATGTGTATTTAAAATGTTTCTCCACCTTCCACATGCTGGGTTTATAAGAACCTGCTATCACATCTGACTTTTTTCATGTGAGTTCTGGGGATTGAATTGATCCTTGGGCCTGCAAGGCAGGTACTTAAAAAGCAAGCATTTCACTGAGTTCTCTCCCCAGCTCCTTTCCTACTTTTTTGTGTGTTTTAAATTAAAGTTAGTAGCAGTAGAGGTTAATAGTATATTATTTTTAGTCATATACTTCATTTTAGGTTTTCTGCCACATTTGAAAATAATTTTTTTCTTAAGATTTTATTTTTAAATTATGTGTACATGTGTGTCTATGTGGGGGTATGTGCAGATATGTGCTCATGTGAGTGCAGGTGCCCTCAGAGTCTAGAAGAGGGTCTCCTGATGCTGGAGTTAGAGGTGGTTGTGAGCCTCCTGATGTGGGTGCTAGGAACCAAACTTGGGTCCTCTGCAAGAGCAGTGTGCATGCCTAACTGTGAAGCCTTCTTTCCAGTCTAATATTTTGTGTTTTAAGGTATACTTTAGATGTCAAAGAGTCAGCATGATTTAAGTCAGTAAGTATCTACTGTGGGTCTCCTCTGTTTTACACTTTACCATAGGGGTTGGCTAATTTACAGTAATAGGCCAGGTGATATTTTAGGGTTTGGAGGCCATAGATCTGTGTTTCACTATGGATTGAGCAATGTTGTGTGAATGTAGCCATGTAATAAACTTAATATGCCATGTAAATGAACAGTTGTGTCTGTGTTCTAACACAACTTTATGAACATTGGTACTTAGATTTCACATAATTTTTACATGTCATAAAATACAAAAGTTTGAGAAAATAAAGTGTCAGCACCTTTCAGCTGATTAAAAATAGTAATAATTAGGATAAAAAAGTGGCACAAACTTCATCTCTAAGGTGCTCTTTACATATAGCAGTAATATACAGAACTTCATAAGCTTTTATTTCATTGGCTTTCTAACTTGTTTAAATAGCATTTAAAGAGCTTTGATTAGTGAATTCCTCTTGAGTGAACTTGTTTCAATTTCTTGGTATTTTTCTGTTTATTTCTGAGACAGTGTAGTTATGTAGCCCAGATTGTTCTTCAACTTGTGATCCTTTTGCGTCTGTCTCCCTCATGCTAGGAGGCATGCCATCAGCACATCCAGGTCGGGCACAGTTTCAAATGATCTATCCATATAATCTAATAAAAAGGTAATGCTCAAACTCTTTAAAGAGTTAAAGTAAAGCTAAATTTAGGAGATAGATGGTTCATTTTGGCAGTTTTAAGTATGCATATAGATTTAAAGGCATCTTTTAAATCTTCTCTTTTCTAGGTGATGGAGTAATTGATGTATTTGCTACAATCTCTCTGGGGGTAGTAGAGGAGTGCACACCATTGTGTACCTGGGGATTCAGCTCTGATCTATAGTATTACTGAATCTGACTGGAGGGGGGGCAGTTAGCAGTGGGTGTCAACAATATGTAGGATTTTATGCTCATAAATCCTTTCCAGAATAGCTGTGTGTGTGTGTGTGTGTGTGTGTGTGTGTGTGTGTGTGTGTGAGACAGGGTCTCCCTCTAGTCCCAGCTGACCTGAACTCACTATGTAGACCCGGCTGGCCTTGAACTCACAGCTATCTGCTTGCCTCTGCCTCCCAAGTGCTGGGACTAAAGGCATGTACCACCACTTTATATATAACCGTGGGAATTCATTTTTAAATCCAGGTATTCTTAAAAAGCAGAGATGGAATGTTTGAATGCATTTGTCTTTAACTGTTTCTCCCAGTATGTGTAATTATAGTGGTCTAACCTGTTAGAGCAGCATTTAAATTTCATGAAGACATTAAGCTTGTTGGTTTATCACTTTAGATTGATTTTGATGATACGAAAGATAAAGTGCTGGTGTTCTTCAAGCTCCGTCCTGAAGTGATCACAGATGAGAATCTGCACAGCAGCATTCTTATTTCATCTATGCTGGAGTCGCCCATTAGCTCCCTCTACCAAGCAGTGCGGCAGGTGTTCGCCCCCATGTTGTTAAAGGTAAGCGAAGCGGCTGTGTGTTTATTTTTACCTTGGGATTTTGATAAATACAGAACCATAGACATAAATATTAAGTTACTGTTAATGTAATATGTTTTAGTTGGTTGATTGAAGTATTTTTTTGTGGTATTGGGCATAGGATTAAAGTTCTAATTTTAAAGTAAGTTTTACAAAGAAAGAGAAGAGTTGGATAAAGGTATGGAATGCAATTCACATCAGCTCCTTCATAGCTTAGAAAGCTTTAACTGTCAGCGGGCTTTCCATCCATCTGGAAGTGGAGTTGTGGCGCTTTCCGTGAAGGAGAGCTTTGGTTTTAAACAGTGGTTTTGGAAGCTGCTTTGATTGCAGTGCTTGCTCAGTGATTGCTCTTGTCTTGTTTGTTTAGGACCAGGAGTGGAGCAGAAACTTTGATCCTAAACTCCAGAATCTCTTGAGTGAACTAGAAGCTGGTTTGGGTGTAGTTCTTCGAAGGTCAGACACTAACTTGCCCAAGCTGAAGGAAGATGATATAAGAGGTAGGTAGCGATCTGATGCTCATGTCCATAAGCACTTACCAAAGTCAGTTGATTTCTAATTTTTTTACATTGTATTATTGTGTATGTATATGCACATGTGCATGTGTGTGCATGTCAGTGCCACAGTACGCTTGTAGAGGTCAAAGGAAAACTTTTAGGGTCACTTCTCTTCTTCCACCCTGTGGGATCTGGGGATCAAGTGCAAGCTGTCAGGCTTGGTGGCAAGCACTTTTACTTGTAGAGCCATCTCTCTGATCCTCAGAATAATTTCATAATAAACCATCTGTAGCTTACTAAGGAAAGTACAAAAGGATTATTTCATTAGTGCGTTAGCAAATGACTGTTTCTTCACACATTTCTTTCTTTGCATTTGGAACTTATCTGAATATAAACTTTTATTTTTATTTATTTATATTTTTGTGTTTTTTTTTGAGATAGGGCCTCCCTGTATCCCAGCTGGCCTGGAACTCATTATGTAGACCAGGCTGGCCTTGATCTCACAGAGATCTGCATCCTGCAGCATCCCAAGTTGTGGGATTAATGGAGTGTATCACTGTGCCCGGCCTTGAACATAAATTTTTAAAAAATGAATAGATTTATATGGGATTGGAGAAGAAGCAAACATTTATTTAAGTACTGGGAAATTTATGGAAATTGAACCAAGAGTGATTATTTGCAGTGGTTGCATCTGATGAGACACTGTGAACATAGAATTAGTGAGCACTGAGCCATGTTTCCAGAGAGACACAGGGTAAGGTTCCTTTGAGTCTCTGGTGGCATTTTGGCAGGCGATGAATATGTAACCTTGTTTTAGTATTTCTGTCTGAAGACTCTTTCATTATATGTACTGTTGATTACTTAACCTTGTCTTCATGGCTACCAGCAGCATAACATGTACCCGAATGCGACTTCCCTGTCTGATGTTTCCTCTCTAAGGACCACCAGAGCTGTTTTGCGCTTGCACTGTGTTCAGTGTGATCGTTAGCATTGTGCTTGAGGATCAGGTAAATAGTGAAATCAACCAGAACTTAACACTATGGCACTAAGAAAGGGCATTTGTTTCCAGGATGAGGTGGGCAGTGACTGAAGTATTGCTTTGACCTTACCTAGGAGCACACGTGGCTGGAGGCTCAGACCTTTCCTTACTCTGCTCTGGATGTATGAAGGCTGGGCACTGACTGATTGTCTTTCCTGCAAAGATAATAGACCTGTTGTTTTATCTCATACTAAGTATACTTTTATTGTGGCTATAGATAAATTCCTGTTCATAAACAAAATGATGGTTTGGATGATGAAAGTCCCCCCTTAGGCTCCGAATATTTCAACACTTGGTCTCCATTTGGTGGTATTGTTTGTGGAGGGTCACCTTTAGGAGGTGTGGCCATGCAGGAGGAAGCATATCATTGGGGGGGGGGCTTTGACCTAGGTGTCAGTCCCATTTCCTGTTTGTCGCTCTGCTTCCTGTGTGTGCTGACGGTGTGAGTCCTCCACTTTCCCTCTGCCTCTGCCCCATGCTTCCCTGCCATGATGGATTCTCCTTCTGGAGCCCTAAGACCAATAAACTCTTACTTCTATAAGTTGCCTTGGTCATGGTGTTGTATCACAGCAACAGAAAAATGACAAAGACAATAACACACACTAATGTTTAACATTGGATGTAGCTTTATATCTTGCTTGAATAATAAAGTAGATGCTTTTTGAAAACAGAGCCCCCCAAAGCATGGTACACTTATTTTCAGCATATGATTAAGTAAATAAAATTATCTAGTGCATTGGGATATTTTAAAACAGGTTTAAAAGTCAAACTATTTTGCTTGTTCTTTGAAATGAAGTTGAAAACATTCATTGGTTATTAGTTTTATTTGGATGGCCTTTAAAAGCATGTATGGTATTGGAATGAGATTTAGGAAGCATTGTTTGAAGCAGATTCACAGACTCAAGATCTGAAATGACTGTGCAGATAAAGAACAGTCTACAAAAGCAGGTAAGAGTCACTATCAGCACATTCAACACAAGTGATATGCAGTTTAAATTTGGATCTGTTAGTGTTTGTAGTAGACTTAAGTAGGAACTGCCTAATGACAGTGATTCTAAGACTCATTTTCTGTACGTCTTCAAGATTACAGGAACTATGTATGTGGACCTAACTAAAATTAGTCAGTGAACCAAGTAGCTTTATGGGTTTTCATTTTCCATTAATAGTTAATTTTTTTTTCTTTTCACTTTTTTAGGTATCCTCACACCAAGTGATGAGTTCCAGTTTTGGATAGAACAAGCTCATGGTGGAAATAAGCAGATTAGCAAAGAAAGAGCCAGCTATTTTAAAGAACTATTTGAAACGATTGCAAGGGTACGTCACTCATACATAGTTGTGCCAAGCTTCTTGTCTGTGTACTTTAGGATTCAATTTTCAGTGCATTTCTCTTGTTTAAAATATACTTGATAATTGCAAGCAAGCTACTTACTTTATAAGCACCAGAGTTTACTTAAGATGTCTGTTTAAAATATGCAAAACTTAGGAACCAAAACACTAATTTCTGATTTCTCGGAAATAAATTTTTCTCAGAAAAATGTACTATTCTGCAGGTACTAAGAGAAAAACAAAACCTGTGAATGGGGGCTGCCTTAGCAGATGAGGTGCAAGCTTGAGGACCCATGTGTACGTGCGCCCTCAGTGACAGAGGGTTCTGGACATGAGGACTGTAGGGAGTGGGTGGGCTTGCTGGACAGCCAGCCCCGCCTCAGCAGAGAGCTCTAGGCTTAGTGAGAGACCTTATCTCAAACACCAAAACAAAAAAACCAGTCCCCCAAAACAAAAATAAAAAAAACAAGCCCCCTCAAAAAACCAAAAACAAAAATGTGGAGCACACTCGAGATAAATGCTTTAGCCTCTGACCTGCACACATACAAACCAGTGCACACCCTCACATGTACTCATATGCATGACTACACGTACACACAAACCTCATGTACTAACACATTCATGTAGAGAAAATGTGTTCTCTTGAAGGAATGTTTATTCTGTTTAAATTAGTATTTTAAAGTAATTTAAAATCTGAAGTCTTAATTTTATGCTTATATAATTAATTATCCCTTGATGTTTATGCCAAGGAATTATTTTCTTATGCCAAAGAATTTAATGAGGGATTATTTTGAGTTTAATTGCAAGCAATCTATTAAAAACAAATACATAGCAATTCTTTATTCATTTCCAGTATTAGTGTTATTTCATTTTTGTTTATTTACTTTTATTATTTTTATTTTATGCATGTGAGTGTATTGCCTGCATGTGTGTAAGTGCACTGTGTCTCACAATGCCCACAGAGGTCAGAAGAGGGCATCGGATTCCCTGGAACTGGAGTTACAGATAGTTGTTACAGATAGTTGTTAGCTGCCATGTGGGTGCTGGGAATCAAACCCAGGTCCTCTACAAACGTAGTCAGTGCTGTCAACTGCTGAGCCATCTCTCCAGCCCCGTCATTTTTGTTTTTTAATGTTATTTTAAAATGTACTGTTATTGCTTTGTGTGTATGCATGATGTGGGGGGCGGCAGTGGGGAGATCCACAGCACACATGTGGATGTCAGAGGACAACTTGCTGGAGTGGCCCTTCTTCCATTTGTATGTATTCTTTTAATGGTGTGTTTGAAGTGGCTAAGCTTTTCAACAGCAACGAGGGAATGTGGACTAATGCACTTTATACTGCGCTCTTTGTTGACCACACATGATGCATCAGAGTCCATGGATGAATGCATGCAAACTGTAATGGCCACTGCGTACATACATGCAGCTAAAGGCGCCACTACTTGAAAGTAAAGAGATCCAGATTTCAAGAAATTAGGCTAAGAGAATAAATATATAAAGTAGTCTTTTTTTTTTTTTTGAGACTGGCATATAGACTAGGCTGACTTAGATCTCACAGAGCTCCACCTGCCTCTGCCTTCCGAGCACTGGGATTAAAGTTGTGTACCACCATGCCCAACTTTTACAAATAGTCTTTATATATATATATATTTCTTTTTATATTTTTTTTCTGCCTTTCATGAAATTTATGTTTATGGGGGTATTTGGATAAAGCAGTAATTCTGTGTCAGGAAAAGGGAGAAAATAATGTGGTATATGTATTAGATCTGCAGCAGTTGAAAAAAGGCTGGGAACATTTTAAAAACGAATTATTTTGGTTTCAGGACTTTTATAACTTGGACAGTCTGTCCTTATTAGAAGTTGTTGACTTGGTGGAGACGACTCGTGATGTAGTAGATGACGTGTGGAGGCAAACGGAACATGACCATTACCCCGAATCCCGAATGCTGCATCTCTTAGAGATCATAGGTATGAGCGAAGGTGTAAGCTCTGGGGACTTGGGAACTGTGGCCTACTTTCTTTTCTTTTTCCCTGTAGTTCTTAATTAAAATGCTCCATAATGTAAGGAATGCATTTTAAGGTAATTCTTAAAGTAAATCATGTAGATTTATTTACATGCCTATTTGTATATAGTTGGTTAATTTAGATCATATATGTGAAATTCTTTGATCACTAATAGAACTAAATTTTTACTTCATTTTTATGCATATGCTTATTTATTTATTTATTTATTTGGTCTTTTTGAGACAGGGTCTCCCTGTAGCCCCAGCGGTGCTTGAACTCGCTATGTAGGCCAGGCTGGCTTCGAACTGAACTCACAGAGATCCACCTACCTCTGCCTCCCAAGTGCTGGGATTAAAGGTGTGTGCCACCATGCCCAGCTAATTTATATTTTAAAGATTAATAATTTATATTTTAAAGATTAATCTTTAGGTGTGTGTGTATTCACTCACTTATGTGTATGTGTATATAGGTATATGTGTGTGTATGTGTAGTGCCCATGGAGGCCAGACAAGCCCTGGCCCTTTGTAAGAGCAGTCAGTGCTCCTAACCACGGAGCCATCTCTCCAGCCCCAAACAAAGCTTTTTGACTCATATAATTAGGACCAAGGTGGAATTGCAGGCATTTGTGAGCTGTATAATGTGGTGGTAGGATTTGAACTCTGGTCCTCTGATAGAGCAGTAAATACTCTTCATCTCCGAGCCATTGCTTCAGCCCACTCATGTTAATTTATATTTTATTTTCACGTGAACTGAAAAATGGTTGAAAACATACTGGCTTAAATTTTTGACCCACAAACCATCCATTATTATTCTCAGAATGTCGGATAAGTTCATGAAGGTGTATGTACAAGGGTGGTATGCATTGCAGCACTATTTGTGTTATGAGTAGAATTAAATAGCAATTTGAAATTAATTTACATAATGCTTCCATTATGGCTCTGTACCTTCAAAGAAGTATGTATTTCATTGCAATACAGTGAAAGATCAAGAATGCACACTAATGTGCATGTACACATACGTTTTTAAAAACATGCTGTTGATAATGGGAATATAAGGTTATACAGGTGGTACTTTGTAGATTCTTGGTTGCTAATTTGTATGTGAATTTTTTCATAAGAATATATTTTATAATTCTGTATTAAATATTTCCATGCAATCTTGCTTTATGTTTTATTAGGTGGCTCATTTGGAAGGTTTGTTCAGAAAAAACTGGGAACTTTGAACCTATGGGAAGATCCTTATTATCTTGTGAAAGAAAATCTGAAAGCTGGCAGTTCAGTGTGTGAACAGTGGGTGATAGTTTGCAGTCACCTGACAGGCCAGGTGTGGCAGCGCTACGTCCCTCACCCATGGCAAAATGAGCAATACTTCCCAGAAACTCTCGACAGACTTGGCAAGCGCCTTGAGGAGGTATCAGTTTGATTGAATGTGTTTTATAATTGAAAAGCATACGTGTGTGAAGGAAATGATTCATATTTGGGTGAACATAGAAGTTCATGGTCACATGAAATAATTTTTGGCATCCTGGCATAATGCCAACTGCACAGTGGGTATAAGTGCTGGTTTCCTCCTCTTCTCTTTGTGTTTGGTATTTGAGTGGTGGACAAGTCAGTTGTGAAATTGTGTTTCCTTCTCTGTTGTGAAAAGGCCAGTGAACAGCTAGCTACCCTGGTCTAGAGGCTGACTCTCTTGGCTGCTTCGACTGGTTTGAGTGTGTGGTTCTTTTGAGGGGGTTCTCAGTGCAAGTATTTGAAACAGCTTTCTAATTTATTTAAGTTAGGAACTTTTGTAGAGAATTTACATATTTAGCTTCAAGGAAAATGCAAAATAAAATCATTTGAAGATTACAATGGTAAATTTATCCTCCTTGCTTAGGAGAAATAGTTATTTGCTGATTGTTGTCCTTAACCTTCTTTGGAATGGAATATTTCAAATGTACATAAAGTTAGCCAGTATGTTTTTGGTTTCAAGGAAATTCTTGCAAAATATCTGTAGATTTTAGGCCTATTTATGGATTTTTTTTTTTTTTAAATCAGTGAATTTTATTATGTTAATACCTTGCGTTTTAGGTCTTGGCTGTTCGAACAATTCATGAGAAACTTCTGTATTTTCTACCTGCCAATGAGGAGAAAATCATGTGCCTGTCTCGAGTATTTGAACCTTTTACTGGTTTGAATCCTGTGCAATATAATTCATATACCGAGGTTGAGTATATGTGTGTTTATGCCTTTATAATTTCCTGTTTGTGTTCTTATTTTTAAAGGTTGCTTTTAAAATTCTTTTGTCTCACAGTATTATTAATTTTTTTAGCCATTATGGAAGGCTGCAGTGTCTCAGTATGAAAAAATCATTGCACCTACAGAACAGAAAATTGCAGGAAAATTAAAGAATTATATTTCAGAAATTCAAGATAGTCCCCAGCAGGTAAAATATTGAAAGATTTAACGCAAAATTTTTCTTTAAGCTGCTTTAGTGTGTGTGTGTGTGTGTGTGTGTGTGTGTGTGTGTGTGTGTACTCACTCAGTTGAACTGATGAATGCAGTGGCCAGAAGAGCATTCAAGCATTTCTGAAATACAAAGAGTTGGTGAAGCGTCCAACTATAAGCAAAGAATTGATGTTAGAAAGAGAAACTTTATTGGCAAGACTTGTGGACTCAGTTAAAGGTAAAAGTTTATCAGCCATAATAGTGTTTTCTTGAGAAAACATTTTTGTAGATTAATATATCTTTGATATTTATCATTTGGGATTGAGAATACCTACTTTGGCATTTTATGACAGGTGGATTTCTGTTATAAATGGCAGATTTTTAAATTAGCAAGTTGTTTTTTCACTATCTCACTTGGTAAATTGGTTTTGTTTGTTTTCCTCTTGTTGTGGTAGAATGCCCCGACAAAAGCAGTTACAGGACAGATTAATTTCGGCTCACAGTTCAAATTACAGTCCATTGTGGTGGGGAATTGGGGCTGCAGGAGCTTGAAGGGTGGTCACATACGACCACAGACAGACGAGAGCAGCAAACGCATGCTTGTGCTCTGCTCACTGTCTGCATTGTATAGGGTTCAGAACTCCCACATAGTCTAACATAATCAGGGTAATACCCCACAAGCTCGCCTAGAGGGCCATCTCCCAAGTTGTTCTGGATTCTCTCAGCTTAATAATTAATGCTGATTTCTGAATACATGCTAAGGTTCTTGAGGATAAGGACCAAATAGAGCTTGAAATCTACATCTTTGATTTGAATCATACAGATTTTAGATTGGACTTTGAAAATCGGTGCCGAGGAATTCCTGGTGATGCATCTGGACCCCTTTCTGGCAGAAATCTTTCAGAAGTTGTCAATAATATTGTTTGGGTTCGCCAGTTGGAGTTGAAGGTATTTGTTTTAATACAAGTTAACGAATACAATTATTCAAAATACGCTAAATTAAGGCCTGTGTGTGGTAGGTACTCTAAAACTGTAGTGAAAGTAGTGTTTTCCTTGGGAGACAGTTACTTCTTTCACTGTTGTGATCAAATATCTGGTAAGCAATTTAAGAGAAGGATTTATTTTGTTTATTTTGTCTGACAGTTTCATGATGGGGGAGGCCTGGTGGCTGGGGCTCCATCTGTGGTGTCAAGAGCTTGTGGCAGGAGATCTGAGGCTGAGAGCTGGGTGCTGAACCTGGCCACGTTGGAACCTTTACTTCTACCCCAGGGCTATACATTGGTAGCTAGGCTCCATGTCCAAAGCATTCCACAGCTTTCCTAAACAGTACCTCCATCTGGGGATCATGTGCTCTAACACATAATCCTTTCATTTTACATTCACACCATAACACCGTGTAATTTTCATGTGAAATGTATACAAGTCTGAAACATGTGTAGAGAAGCTTCTAATGATTCTGTTCATTTTTTATACTGAGATAATTGTCACATCATGTGTCATCCCAATCCTAATTGCTCTAGACGAGTACCTTTGAAGAGGAGTTCATACTTTGTACCAGATTTAAAAAATGTACTTAGAAAATACTGATAGTTTCAAAGCCTATCTGCAAATATTTTTATGTAATCAAATAATTTTAGGTTGGAAGTTAAAGGGGAGGTGAAAGGTAATTAAAACATTGTCTAAGTAGTGACAGTGACTTAAAGACTTAAAAGACTGATTTTAATATTATTAAAGTTGACCTCAAATTTTTATGGATCTACTATTAATATGTATAGTGTTTTGTATTTGACTCATGTAGTACTGATTGAATATGGTCTCTGATTAAGGGCATGAGGTTATGCAGTACTAGAAAACCTACTTCTTACTGAAGATTATATATTTGATCTATACTCTGGATTATTTGCCTTATTTTTTTCTGCCAGTAAGTTTTATGTAGTAATATAATGTGCATTTCTGAAGGCAAGACAGTTTTCTGTCTTAATTGACATTGAAACTGGCGTTTTTATTGTTTGAGCCAAATAACCTAGTATTATTTATGTGAGGGCCAATATTATTGTGAACATGTTGGAGAGTACGAGAGAAGTTCTTGGGTTTTCCTTTGAAAATTGGTGGGGCACACATGTTTTGTGGCTTGGTGGTCCTTTCTTTTACCCTTTATCTTTTACCCACGTGTGCCTCGCGTGGCTATCCTCTTGTGTTGTAATCGCAAATTGTATAACTCAGAGGTAATGGCAAGGCTCTACAGAAAATGTTTCTTACTGATTAGAGATGAAAGGGAAAATAATTTTTGAATCACAAGTCAGGGAAGGGTCCTCCTTGTTTTTATGCTAAACTTTTATTAACATTAATGCATATCTTTGTAATTTGGTTTTTAAGGTAGATGATACCATGAAGATTGCAGAGGCTCTTCTGTCTGACCTGTCAGGATTTCGGTCTTTCCATCGAAATGCTGAAGATCTCTTGGACCAGTTTAAACTGTATGAACAAGAACAGTTTGATGACTGGTCCAGGGAAGTTCAGTCAGGGTTGTCAGATTCCAGATCCGGTTTATGGTAAGTAGCAGTATATCAAATCAGGAAACACAAGCCCGCATGTTATTCATTCACAGAATGCAGAATCTTTTTGCTTTCTCCAAATTTGCTGCTGATTCTTTGTTTAGCTTTGCTTATGCATTAGTCGTTAAGTGTTAAGTTGTTGAGGCTCTTCCCTGGAACTACAGATTCCTTTTTGGGAATTAGGCCTTCCCTCTGTTTTGATGTCTTATTACTGGGTATTCTATATGTTTTTGTACTTTTTTGCATTACTATTGTATGCATACACACACTTTAAATTATAAACCATGTTAATTTAAAACTCTTTAAAATAGAAGTATTTTTTCATGGCATCCCAGTTAGTAAACCTTTGGTAAATACTTTACTGAATGTCTTGATGATTTAACATTGTTTTAGTAGGGGTTCAAAATGCATGACTAGAAAAAGCTCCACATTTTTCTTTGTACCTTAAGTCAACTTTCCAAATTATATTATTATCTATATTTTTAGAAACTTACCTTGTCTATTTTTGTGCTACTGGGGATCAAACTCAGGGCCTTCAGCATGCACTTTACCTCTGAGCTATGATTTTAGCCCCCTTATTTTTCTTATTAGAGATAGAGTCTCCATATTTTGCTCACAGTTTGTCTTAAATTCGTGGTACTTCTGCCTCAGCCTTTTGAGTAGCTGGGAGTCCGTGTACACAGCTCTGCTCAGCCACATCTGTTGAAAGGAAACTGTCCATAGTGTGAGGCTCTGTGCCCCTCCCCCAGATGATTGGGCCAAGCATGTTCTTAAATTGAATGAGTAATATATTTTCTTTACTACAATCTGGCTCAGGAGGAAGAGGAACCAAAGGGCTCTAAAGTAAAAGGACTATAATTTGTGCCACTTAACTCTTTCCTTCCTATATGGAGCCAAAAACACGAGAGATGCTCCAGCTCTCATGTCCCAAAACAGATTGCTTTAGTTAGCTAATTTGAAAAAGTCTACTTTGCCACTATAGGCCCTGTTGTGACCTGCTCTGAAACGTGCAGATCCCAGGTCTGAGGTTTTCTGTAAATAAGCTTGCTAGCATTTTTTTGGCCTGGAGTTCCCCATTTGGTAATGAAATCTTGCTCCTTCCATTATTTTTGGGTAAAACATGGAATCATCAGTGTGTCCTTGAACACATTTTTTGGCAATACTGGTATATATCAACTAGTTTTGAAGATCATTCTTCAGTGAATCCCCAAAAGAGTCACTATTGTAGTTTTCTGATGGACCATACATATCTATAGAGCAGGGTGTGCCAAATCAGTCATCTTTTAAAAGATATTTATTTTCATTTTATGTGTATGAGTGTTATACCTGCATGTGTGTAAGTGCAACCCTGTTGTTCAGTGCCCATGGAAATCAGAAGAAGATGTCTGATCTCCTGGAACTAGAGTTATAGACAGTTAGCCGCCATGCAGGTGCTAGGAACTGAACCTGGGTCCTCTGCAAGAGCAGCCAATGCTCTTAACCACAGAGCCATCTCTCTAGCCTCATAAATCATCCTTTTAAGCCTTTTGAAACTAACTTCTTTGTATTAACTTTGTTGGAGGTGCTATTAGGTAGGCTGAATATATTCTTTGCTTTTCAGGGTTGCTTTAGTAGATGTGAATTTTCTTAATTATGAACATGGTCTGAAAGAATGACCATAATGTAAATCTAATCCAGGAGGAAGGTGATAAGTCATAGAACCTTGCAGTTAGTTGAGATGAGCAGTCTTCCAGTTCATGTGGACTGGAGTGCCTAGACTCGGTTTCCCACTGAAGTCTTCTAAGGAGTAAGCACAGCATTGAAGCATCTCTGCTCTCACCAGGTTTATTGTCAGGGGCGCTTTTGTAAAGCATGACAGATGCAGGTGGACCGAGAAATGACGTGCTACCTTTAGAAAGCAAGTCAGAACTTCCTCTGTGGCAGATACCCCAATTTACATATTTTACTAATAGGTTAAAGGTGATTATTTTTCACTTAAAAACTGATCATGCCAGGAGCAGTGGTGCACGCCTTTAATCCTGGTACTTGGGAGGCAGAGGCAGGTGGAGTTCTGTGAATTCCAGGCTAGCCTGGTCTACATAGTGAGTGCCAGGAAAGCCAGGGCTACATAGTAGACCCTGTCTCAAAAGAAAAAAAAAAGCTAACAAAAAACCCCATTAGATTTACAGGAAAATTTATAAAAAGTATATTGTGTTTTCCATTAGTTTCTAAAGAGTGAGAACAATGAAAGTTTCTCTCTCTCTCTCTTTTTTTTTTTTTTTTTTTTGTTCTTTAGTATTGAGGCTAACAGCCAAATTATGGAGTTGGTTCCTACTGATGGGTCATTAAAAGTGCATTATTCTGATCGCTTGGTGATTCTTCTGAGAGAAGTTCGACAGCTTTCTGCTCTGGGCTTTGTTATTCCTGCCAAAATACAGCAGGTTGCAAACATTGCACAGAAGTTCTGCAAGCAAGCAATTATTCTTAAACAGGTATGAAATGATATGATACTTTTGAAAACATGCCTGTTCTTAGTTCATTACATTAAACTGGACTATGACTAGAGATTTTTTTAACTACTTTTTTCATGCTACTATAATAGATTATTAGCTTGTGAAATTAAGTTTTGCTAAATGACTGAACTAAAGTTTGCTTTTAATCTGTTTAGGGATTATTCATTTAAAATGCTGTTGTTAGTACTTTTCGTTTCTAAAATCATTTGGCATGGTAACATAAATAATGTCCCTTCTTCTCCTTCTTCCTCCCTTTTCCCTCTTCCTCCTTCCTCTTCTTCTCCCTCTCCCTTCTCCCTTCTCCTCCTTCTCTCTCCTCTCTTCTCCTTCACTTGTCTCCCTCCTCTTTCTCTCTTTTCTTGTTCCTTGTACATGTTCTGCAGGACCTGCCTGCCTTCTAGAGTCACATTCTTAGAGAATTCCCAGGCTGATGGATTGGTCTTGCTTTACTTATCGCAGCATGCTATCATTTCCCCCTTTAGAACCAACAGTGTCACATCATTGACTAGCTCCTTGGTGTGGCCTGCAGGCCCTCCTCAGCCATATCCCAGCTTTCCTTGGCTTGGCTCTCTGCTCATACTCTCAGCTTTCTGCCACAGTAATGTAGACTTCAGATAATTGACTTAGAAAGAGAAAGTCTATTTTGGTTCACAGATTTGGAAGTTCCAACCAGTGATCAGTTGGTCCCTTGCTTTTGGGCCTTATAATGGGAACACCTGGTGGGGTAAAATCCAGTTATCTCATGCTGGGAAGCACAAGAGAGGAGGGATGGGGAACGCCCCGCAGTCTCTTTTAAGAGCACATTGCCAGTGTTCTAAAACTAAGCCTGACTTTAAAAAACGACTTTCTGTTCTTTGACAGTTTCATATATATATGTCTTAATCATGCCCATCCCTATTGCCCTTCCTCTCCCTCTGGATCTCCCCAACACATCCCTCTCCACCTTCATAGTCTCTCTTTTATCCAATAACTCACTGAGTCCAGTTAGTGCTGCCCACATATGCATGGGTATGGGGCCAGCTATGGGAGCATGGCCAACCTACCAGAGGCCACAGCCTCCGAGAACATTGACTCCCGTCACCCAGCAGCCATCAATGGCCCATAGCTCCTCAGCTAGGGGTGAGGCCTTGTGAGCTCCTCCCCCGTCAGTGCTGCAACATTGACTGGCTTGATCTTGCAGGTAACTACGGCTGCTGTGAACCCACAAGTGCAGCAGGCATGTCATGGCCAGAACACTGCATTGCACAGCACTCCCTACTCTTCCACTCTGTCATCCAGGATGTCCCCTCAGCTGTGGGTGAAGTTTGATACAGACATCTTACTTAGGGCTGAGTACTCAACATTCACTTTTCTCAGTTCTTTGACCAGTTGTGTTTGTGCTTTAACACTGCCTACTGCAGAAAGAAGCATCCCTGACATGGTTAAGAGCAGCACTCATCTGTGTGTATAAACATACATATTTAGAAGGCAGTTTGCAACATGAGCATTTAGCACAACAGTAGTAGTAAGTCCCCCAGAACCTGTGACAGCAGTAGTAGTAGGTCCCCCAAAACCTATGACCTCCCCCAGGCTTCTAATCAGGTTACACTATCAGGCATGAATTTCTGCCTGTGGAGCAGGCCTCAAAGCCAATCAGAAAGTTGTTGGTTGCCCCTATAACAGTTGTGCCACTTTTGCACTAGTAGGCACGGCTTGCCTGGCAGGTCACTGTTGTTCTAGAAGGAAAGGTCCAGCAGTGGGTAAGACCATGGATGTCTTTTTGTCCCTCAACAACCTACATAGCATCTTTCAGCACTATGAAAACTAGGCAGCAGGGAGGAAGTTTCCTGGTAGGTTCTGGATTGATTTTTTTATGTCCTATAACCAAAGCTTGTGATTATTTTCAGCAGTAAGTTCTTACCATCTAGTTAAGGTGGGTAACCAAGAGCATTGATAAGCCTGTCTTGTTTTGGAGGCTTCTGGGTTCTCCTTGACTAATAACTCATAGGGAGGTATCCCATGCCTTGCACTGAGAGTTTTATTCCATAACTCATTTGTTCTGGAGGAAGCGCTGTTCACTGTTCACTCATGCAAGGTACCTCTGTTCCAATTCCTTTTTAAAAAAATCTGCTTTTAAAAATCAGCTTACAAAGTAGTGGGTTTCCATAAGGATTTTTCATTCATCCTTACTTTTGCTTAACCTCCCCCAGTCCGTCCTTTCTGTTCTGCCACTCCCATCCCTGCTTATCTATAATCCTTAGTATTCCCCCCATTTTAATATCAGATGTATTCTATCCCCTTCCACCTGTAAGATGCCCCACACACCCATGGGTCCTTTCTGGCTTCTTGACCTCTTCACGGTACTCCAATTAAACACACAAATCTGAAAATTTGAAGCTGGAACCAACATATGAGAGAGAACATGTATGTCTTCCTCAGCCCAAGTTACCTCTTGTTTAGTGTGTTTTCCAGTTCCATCCATTTTCTCACACATTTGATCATTTTGTTTTCTTGTAGTTGAATAAAACTTCTATTATGTAGATAGAATTCATCTCATTATTATTCATCAGTTGATGGACATCTAGGCTGCTTATGTTTCCTAGCTATTGTGAATAAGGATGTGCAAGTGACTGGGTGTCCAGGAGTGCTATATCTGGCATCATATCATAGTCCTGCTTTCTATTTTTTGTGAAACTTTCATACTATAAAGTGTGACCTTCAAGAGAAAACATGAAAAATGTCTAGGAAAGAAAGCAGATGTGTGCCGAGGTGGGAAGGTGTGGCTAGAATGAACCTCCTTTCTGGGAATTGTGACATGGAAAAAGAAAATTGTGCAAGTTTTGCTGTTGTGCACGAAACTGCAAAAGTTACAGCCATGGTGTATGATGAGTCCTTAAAATGCTGGGGCATTTAATGACAGTTCCGGGCTAGCCACACTCTAGGGTTCTTGGAGCATATGCCCCAAGGATAAAGGAAGAACAACTGTAGTTAATGAATCCGACATTGTCTGATGTTGTGGGAATTGCATGTGTAACAGCTTTTCCAGTGCTACATTGCCAGTGACTTATGAAGGTAGGATTCAAAGCAGGTAGGCTGTTTAGGACAATAGATGATTTTAGAGAACATAGATAGAGGTAGGTTAGGGTTAGTGGTTGGATTCAAGTCATATTCTGAAAGTATATATGATAGGCTTTGACTGATGGGGTTTTGAAAGAGAAGATAAAGACAACTTTTGTTCTAACAGTATACAAAGCATTGTGTTATGTACTCCTAGTATGGAGTACTTCCTGAGAGGTGCGGGAGTTGGTTGCAGTTTCTTAGTACTGAGCAGGGATAACTGATTCCTTTCTTCCCTATGTGACTGTGTTCTTGATTCCAAGGATTGGATTTTATTATCTTTATTTAATAATCCCCAGGACATAATTTGACAGGTTATAGTGACTCAGCAGATATGTGCTGATCAAGCATATTAATTCATGAATAAATTTTGATTTGGAAATGAAAAGCTCTTTCTCTTTAGTTTTAGGATTGGGAAAAATTATTAAAATTCAAATAATCAAAAGTAAAGAAAATTAAAAGTTAAAAATGAAAATCTGTTGCCAAGTGTGGTGGTGCTTGCCTTTATCCCAGCACTGGGAGGCAGAGGCAGATGGATCTCTGTGAGACCTGAGGCCAGCCTGATCTCCATATTGAGCTCCAGGCCAGCTAGGGAGGGAGACCCTGTCTTGAAAAAAAGAGAGAAATCTGTTATCAATTGCTGCTAATTGGACTTTACTTTGTAGGTGGCACATTTTTACAATTCTATTGATCAACAGATGATTCAAAGTCAGAGGCCAATGATGCTGCAGTCTGCCTTAGCATTTGAACGGATAATTAAGGTAAATTGGATTTTTATGTTTTATGATTGGATTTTGGTTGTAAAGTGATTCTTTTTCATTTTTCAGTAAACCTTTAAATTTAGTTTAACGGCCACTGAGCTAGACTTTATTTTGTTCCCTAATTACTTCCTTCATTCTTGATGAGTAATGTTTTTTTTCCAACAGATTTAAATAATTATGTTTCAAGTATTTTGGTATTGATTGTAATAATTGCATTAATATAGCTAGTGTACAACTCACATACTGTTATAGTTGTTTTCCACTAAGGTTTGAGATTCTTGTACAGAGTTCTTTTGTGTCTACCATTTCTGTTTCTAATTTGACCTGTTTGTCTTTTAAATGTCTATATGTCAGAAATTGGGAAAACTCAAAGTAGGCTTTAAACTACATGTTACTATGTGACTGTAAATGTTTTGAAATTTGTATTTTTATCTTCATAGAGAGGAAATACTTGAAATAAGAGGAATATACCTTTTAATTATGTCATTTAAAAGTGAACAGGTAGTTGTTTTAAGTCTTCAGGACCACTGCCGTGTTCTGTGATTCAGTAGGAGGAGTCATAGGATTTAGTGTGTAGTTATTCTCACAAGATTCTATAGTAGTGACTTAGTACAGTGACTGGACACGGGAAGGGGATGGGGCGATATCCCAAGAAACCAGCTGTAGGCTGCCATGACTCCTCTCCTGGGGAGTCATAGTGCGCTTAATTCCCTTGGCAAAATACTATATGTGAAATGATGTTACTGGTAAGGTCATTAGAGACTTAACACTTAGGTTCATATTGGGTGTTGGTTAGGTACTCATTTTCTGTTCAGTGTTACCAAAATTATAAACTCCTAGAAGGAAAGCAAAGGTCTTTTTCTAACTGTTGTTTAGGCACACCAAGCCATTCTTGTTTTTAAAATTTTAAGATATATTTTATATTATGTGTATGAGTGTATTGCCTATATGTATTTAAGTGCATTTGTCATGCAGTGCCTATGGAGGTCAGAAGAGGGCATCGGATCCCCTGGATTTGGAGTTATGGATAGTCGTTAGCTTCCATGTGGGTGCTGGGAACTGAACTTGGGTCTTCTGCAAGAACAGCCAGTCCTCTTAAGTGCTGAGAATCTTACCTGGTAGGGTAATGCAAGCTCTCAGCAGATCTTTTAAGTAGGACTTTCAAATGATAGAACTATGTTAACACTTTTTTTAAAACAATTTTATTTTTTTATTTTATGTGTATGAATGTTTACTTGCATGTACATATGTGTACCACATGCATGTAATACCTTCGGAGGCCAGAAGAGGGCATCAGGTCCTCTGTGCTGGAGACACCATGTGGGTTCTGGGAACTGAACCCAGGTCTTGTTGCAGGAGCAGCCAGTGCTCTTAACTGCTGAGCTATTTCTTCAGCTTCCTATGTTAACTCTCTTTTGTGCATTAATTCTTGGGCTTAAGATTTACTGCAATTCATATAATTCATATTATACATGTTTTTAAATGGTGTTAAAAGTATTTTTGATTGTTCAAGTTTAGCATGAGGCTATGAAAGAAAGTTTCAACAGGGACTGGAGACATGGCTCCACGGGTAAGAGCTCTGGCTGCTCTTGGAGAGGTCCCAAATCTGGTTTCCAGCACCCACATGGTGGCTAACAACAGTCCATATCTCCCTCTTCTGGCCAGTGCAGACATTGCATGACATGAGTGTGCTTACATACATGTAAGCAAAACACTAGTACACATAAAATAAAAATAAATAAAAATTTTAAAAAAATT